GACTACATCTTATATAGTAGCTTACCCTTTTTTCAAATAGAACAATAATATTTAATTTTGTGAAATTTTGATACAAACAAATAGTCAAGAAATGCTGTTCATACCCAATAAGGGTTTGGGTTGAGTACCCGGTAAGGATGGCTTTCTCTTGTTAAGAGTCAGTTTTATACTCTCTCTTCCTTGGCCATTTGTCTTTTTTTTTTTTTTTTTACTTAACTATAGCTGTCTAATTTGCCAACTGATTGTTAGGATCACCGAGCTTTAAATGGGGAGGAAGCAACTCCTACTAGTGAAAGTGAAACTATTAGTAAGAAGGACAAAGGTGTTTACGTTGGTGTAGAAGAGGACGAGGATGAGGTCAGCGAACAGGCTAACAGTGAAGATGATGGCCTTGGAGATATTTGGAACGATATGAATATGGCATTAGAATGTTCCAAGGTATTGTTATTATATATATGATTTCATTGACTGCTGTTTCCTTCAGCTCTTGTGTATAGTCTGCACTGCATTATATCCTAATTATATACCCTTAGTTTATTAGGGACCAGGCTTAATGTGCTAATCTGGATCTTGTTAAATAATGACTTAAGTTCAAAGCAAAATTAAGTTAATCGGTATGAATGCTGTGAAAACAATTATTTTAGAAATTTGGTTTGTAAGAAATCAAAGGAAGCATGAATGAGAGATTATATGTAGCTATATACAAATCTACTTCGTCTTCTAAGTTTTGCAATTATTTCCAGTAATTCCTTAAATGACGTTGATCATAATTGAGAGGCCTTTTCTATAAGAATCTTTGTATATTGAATATTGTTGTAGTCACGTAGTAGGGAAGCGTATGTTACGTGTTCGAAGAAAAATCCTAATTATATGTATGGGTTAATGTAGAATTTTACCCCTTGATTTCCTTTATTATCAACTTAACTTCTTCCTATTAAAGTTTTAGTTCTTGCAACCTTAACTTTTCCTAGGACTTGGATGTTGCCGTAGATTCATCATCTAATCAACCAAGTACAGATGCTGTGGACTGTGATCATTCTTTTCTCTTTAAGGATGATCTTGGTTATGTCTGTCGCATATGTGGGGTTATTGACAGAGGAATTGAGACCATTTTTGAGTTTCAGTACAACAAGGTTTGTATCTCTATTGCCATTTTATATATCTTATAGCTTATGTCATATTGTTTTGCTTACATAGAACGGAAGTTAAACATCCAAGTTTTCCTGCCTTTGTTCTATTTACTTATAAGTGCCAAAGAAGAGCAGAATAATTTAAAATTGTAGCCCATAAGCCTATGGGTAGTAGTTTTTGTAGTCACCCACGATTCTCAAATGTGGAAGCGATCGATATATATTTGAACGACGCTTTTGCTGAGTTGATCAAAAGCTGGCCCCTGTTCTCTCTCTCTCTCTAGCTGAAATATTAAATCTTAGAGTTGTCTTAAGTCGTTTAAAAGCTTCCTTCTTAAATCTTACTGTTCGATATTTTTATTGACCCAACTTGAACTAGTTATGTTGTAATAGCCCAAACCCACCACTAGCAGATGTTGTCCTCTTTGGGCTTTCCCTTCCGGGCTTCCCCTTAAGTTTTTAAAACGTGTCTACTAGGGAGTGTTTTCCACACCCTTATAAGGAATGTTTTGTTCCCCCTCCAACCGATGTGGGATCTCACAATCCACCCCATTGGGGGCCCAACGTCCTCACTGGCACACCGCCTGGTGACTGGCTCTGATACCATTTGTAATAGCTCAAACCCACTGTCAATAGATATTGTCCTCTTTGGGCTTTTCCTTCTGAGCTTCCCCCAAGTTTTTAAAATGCGTCTACTAGGGAGACGTTTCCACACATTTATAAAGAATGCTTTGTTCCCCTCTCCAACCAATGTGGGATCTCACATATGTAAAGTAATATAATTTTGAAAAATCGACTGTGATCTTCAGTTGTTATCAGCTGTGTCATCTTCTGTGAACTCACACTGATTTGTATTTTTTTCTTCTAGGGTAAGAGGAGCACAAGAACATACATGTCTGAATCTCGTAACAAAGATTCAGGCGATATTGTTGGAGTTAAAATCTCGGAAGATGATTTGATGGTCACTGAAATATCTGCACACCCTAGACATATGAAGCAAATGAAACCTCATCAAATTGAGGGTTTCAATTTCCTTATAAGCAACTTGGTAACGGACAATCCAGGAGGCTGCATTTTAGCCCATGCTCCTGGTTCTGGAAAAACATTTATGATAATCAGTTTCATGCAAAGTTTCTTAGCTAAGTATCCACAGGCTAGACCATTGGTTGTGCTTCCCAAAGGAATCTTAGCTATTTGGAAAAAGGAGTTTCAGATTTGGCAAGTGGAAGATATTCCACTCTATGATTTCTATTCCGTTAAAGCAGATAATAGGGCTCAACAGCTAACCGTTCTGAATCAGTGGGTCGAGCACAAGAGTATTCTGTTCTTAGGATACAAACAATTTTCCACGATCGTCTGCGATGTCGAAACCAATGCTGCATCAACTGCATGTCAAAATATATTGCTCAAGGTTCCCTCCATTCTCATCCTAGATGAGGGGCATACACCAAGAAATGAGAACACTGATATTTTGCAAACTCTTGCCAAAGTCAGAACTCCACGAAAAGTGGTTCTTTCAGGAACCTTGTATCAAAATCATGTTAAAGAGGTATTCAATATAGTGAATCTCGTTCGACCGAAGTTCATGAGATCAGAAACTTCTCGACCTATCATCAAACGTATCATGTCAAGAGTGGATATACCTGGTGCGAGGAAGCAGTTCAAAGCAGGTGTGGATGCTGCTTTTTATGACTTGGTGGAACACACGCTTCAGAAGGATACAGATTTCAGGAGGAAAGTGAGTGTCATCCATGATTTACGTGAGATGACCAGCAAGATTCTGCATTATTATAAAGGAGATTTTCTCGATGAGCTCCCTGGACTGGTTGACTTCACTGTGGTGCTAAATCTCACCCCTAAACAGAAGCATGAAGGTGAAAAAGTCAAAAAGTTTAACAGGAAGTTCAAAATAAGCTCTGCTGGTAGTGCTGTTTATTTGCATCCAAAGTTGAATGTTTTCTCTGTTAATGCTACTGTGACGGATGATAAAATAGACGAGGTCATCGACCAGCTGGACGTTAAAGATGGAGTGAAGGCGAAATTCTTTCTTAATATGCTGAATTTGTGCGCTACTACTGGAGAGAAGCTGCTGGTATTTAGCCAATACCTCCTTCCTTTGAAATTCATGGAGAGATTGGTTGTGCAGAAGAAGGGTTGGAGTCCAGGAAAAGAAACTTTCATGATATCCGGTGAAACAACTTCCGAGCATCGGGAATGGTCGATGGATCGTTTCAACAACTCACCTGATGCCAGAGTCTTCTTTGGCTCCATCAAGGCTTGTGGGGAGGGCATATCTTTGGTAGGGGCATCACGTATCATCATCTTGGATGTTCATCTCAATCCATCAGTGACCCGCCAGGCAATTGGTCGTGCATTCCGTCCCGGTCAAACAAAGAAAGTCTTCGCATATAGATTGGTGGCTGCTGATTCACCTGAAGAGGGAGATCACAGTACTTGCTTCAAGAAGGAACTGATTGCAAAAATGTGGTTTGAATGGAACGAGTATTGTGGCTATCACGACTTTGAAGTGGAGACGGTCGACGTGAAAGAGTGTGGCGATAACTTTCTAGAAACCCCGCTTCTTAGACAAGATGTCAAAGTTCTGTACAGAAGGTCAGTTCGCTCTTTATTCTCCCCAGTTGAGCTCTACTTTCATGTTTCCTGACATCGTCTTCTTTACCATTTTCAGGTAGAGCCTGCAATATAATAGTACAGATGAGGCAAAGGGAATTATTATTTATCTTTGTCTCATCGAAACTGTTCATGAGAGCATTTTGTTCCTATAACCTGTTCATGGATTTGTTTTTTCCTTCTTTTTTTTTTTTTTTTGTGAAGATCATAGGCAGATAGCTTTGTTTCTGACTTGTATAGCATGACTGCTGCCTTGCCTGAATATTGTTCACAGTAAGTAAATGGAGTTTGTGACACTCAACTAACTCCTAAAGACGCCATAGATCAAAGCTTTTTGGTAACAAAGTATTGGTACAGTTCATTTTGAGTGCAGTTTCTCTTTTATGCTACCCATCTTAATAATTTTGGATAATGGAGCTACAGGTTATGGGATTATGGAGCGGACTTATGTAACGGCCCAAGCTCACCTCACCTCTAACAGATATTATCCTTTTTGGGCTTTCCTTCAAGGTTTTTAAAATGGATCTGCTAGGAAAAGGTTTCCACACCTTTATAAAGAATGCTCGTTCTCCTCCCCAACTGACGTGGGGTTTCACAACTTACAATTTGGAGGGGATGAAGGTAAATTCTAAACTCATTATGGAATAATAGATATGTACAATATTAACTGATATTGTCTACTTATGTTGATTATTTCCGTAGTTATTAATGGAGTTATGAATGCAATAGATGGAACCGACAGAATTGAGTCGGGGTGAGTTTGATTGGTTTTTTTTTTTTTTTTAGACAACCAAAATCTTTATAAGCTCTAAAAAAAAATTAGTAATTTCATGTGTTTTAGTATAGCTTCTAAAAAATGTTTTTTAAGCTTAATAATTAAAAATTACTCTAGGAAGTTTAGATTAATTTAAAAATCGTTTTAAATCAATTTTCTTAGAAAATACGAAGGACTTCCATTTGGCACCCTCTCCTGTCAACATAAGTGACCTTTCTTCTTAGGTCCTATGAGGCAATAGGGCAAGAAACTCAATGCCACTATTCTAAATCCGTTGCAATACATCAAAAGAACGAATGAAAATAAAACTAACAATCATTATGATTTGCTTGTTCTTGAAAATATCTTATACGCTGAGTTCGTAAAATAGAAGCGAAGTTTATTCATGAGAAATAACTTCACATTTATCAAAGGGCTAAAATTTCCTGAGGAACCCAAAGTTTGGAACTAAAATCATATGCAGATAAACCAACCAGAGAAGAACAATACAGCTAACCTTCCAATCAACTACATGATATATTACAAATATATATATATATATATATATGGAGGACAAGAAACCAGACAAGAAGAATCCATGTTCCTTTGCTCCTCCCAATGGTGTTCATATCATTTAGTATATGATTCTGATAAGCAAATCTTGTACAGTTTAACTTTTACACAACAAAATCGTGATAAAGATGGGAAGGGCCGAACCTCAGTTGCGGATTCCCAGCAGCATTTACGCATTCGAAATGCACCGTTTCCCCGAGAGAAGACGCTGCAGAAGCAGCGTTGTACATATCGTCTCCTCTCATGGCTGCAAAACCATGGTGTGTCCCAGCAGGCATAGGTATGCCACCACCACCCTCACAATGCTGCAAACCCAGCGTAAGTGATACCCCGCCAACCGTCCCGAACCTTCCCAATTCAGACATGTGATAGGCGGCAGCAGCAGCAGCCATAAACCTGTCACTCTCTCCCTGAGACTGGACAATTGCATCAGGAAAGAAATTAGAGTTATTTACATTAGACCTTAGCTCCTCATTCGGCTTTATCAGCTCGTTTTCGGCTTCGATGTGAGCACCATTTTGGAAACTAGCTAGTCTGTTGGAACCCGAGTTTGCGAGATTAGAGACTTGGTCTGATTTTAAGTCGACAATATCTCCAGTGCTACATCTTTCGGTCGCTGTTGAACTTGCACTTTGTTGCAGATCCTCCTCTTTATCATCCTCGAAGGTCTTGTTATCTCCTTTTGTTCCCTTGCTAGCATTTTCAGATGATGATATAGAGTCCATGTCCACACTGCCTATTTCTTCCTTGTACATCTCCTCTACCATAGGTTTCCAAAGACGTACACGCGCATTGATAAACCAATTAGAGACCTGCGCGATCCCATAGACGGAGACAAATATAATATAAGAACACGTGTCGGTACAAAAAATACAGTAATATAAAAGAAAGATGTGAAATAATGACCAAAAGCAAGGTAATTGGTAAATGTTGAAAAAATCATTGTTTTTGCAAAACATATAGACATGGTGGTGGAGAAATGTAATCTAACACCCCAAGCTCACCGCTAACAGATATTGTTCTCTTTGAGCTTTCCCTTTTGGGTTTTCCCTAAACGTTTTTAAAATGCACCTGCTAGGGAGAGGTTTCCACACCTTGTAAAGGATGCTTCGTTCTCCTCCCCAACCAATGTGGGATCTCACGATCCACCCCTCTTCGAGACCTAGCGTCCTCGCTGCCACTCGTTCCCTTCTCCAATCAATGTGGGACCCCCCAATCCACCCCCTTTGGGGCCAGCGTCCTTGCTAGAACACCGTCTCATGTCCACCCCCCTTCGGGGCTCAACCTCCTCGCTGGCACATCGCCTGATGTCTGGCTCTGATACTATTTGTAACGGCTCAAGCCCACCGCTAGCAAATATTGTCCTCTATGGGGTTTTCCCTTTCGAGCTTCCCCTCAAGGTTTTAAAACTTGTTTGCTAGGGAGAGGTTTCCACACCCTTATAAAGGATGCTTCGTTCTCCTCCCCCACCGAGACCAATGTGGAATCTCACATGTAAAGTCTATGTTGGAACTAAATTGGCAGCCTACAAAACATATAGCTACTTCCAGCTGACAAGATCTTTTCAGACATGATCAAGTTTGGCCTTTTTGGAAATATCACACAGATTGATTCAAGAAATATTATCCATGATCAACAATCTTTCTAGAGCCATGGTTGTTTTTCTATTTATATTACCACATTCAACAGTCAATTCAAACAATACAGAAGGGAAAAAAGTTAAGCTTCTGAGTTTTACCTGACTTCTAGTCAAACCCGTCTGCCTCGCAAGCATGATCTTATCAGAATCCTTTGGATACCTGGAAATTTAGTACTTGGTTAAGTTTTGTTACGACAGAGAGAACGTAAATCGAAATACTAATGTCAAAGACTTACGGATGAAGGAAATGCTCGAACAGCCAAGCACGGAGAATCGAAACAGAGTTCTCAGGCAACCCTCTTTGAGGCCTCCATGCATGCTGCTGTATCATGCCAAGCTGCTGAAGAGCTCTCTGTTGCCTTAACTGCTGGTCCACGTATCGAAGACGAGTGATTCCAACTCCTTTGTCGTTTCCAGAATTCTCGTGCTCTCCTAGGCTTTTACGAGTAGCTCTGACTTGACCAGCTATGGCATCCCGCAAGCACCGAAAATGACGGGATATAGTCTGGAGTGCAAGTGCAGTATATGGCTTAGATGCCCCACATCCAGCAATCACATCAAATGATGATACTACTATCTGCATCTGATGATAATACTGATTGTACCTTCTATCAACCTACAAGACAAGATAACCATTTGACCTTGAGCAACTACTTCCACGGGACAAAGTATCAAAACTAAATTTAGTTGCTGCATCGATGGCATCGATGACATCGATTGGAGAAGGAAACAAGTGCCAGCAAGGTGCTAGCGAGGAGGCTGAGCCCTGAAGGGGGTGGACACGAGGCAGTGTACTAGCAAGGACGTTGGACACCAAAGGGGGGTGAATTGGGGGTCTCACATCGATCGGAGAAGGAAACGAGTGCTAACGAGGACGCTGGGCCCTGAATGGGGTGAATTGTGAGATCCCACATCGGTTGGGGAGGAGAACAGAACATTCTTTATAAGGGTGTGGAAACCTCTCTAGCAGACGCGTTTTAAAAACCTTGAGGGGTAGCATGAAAGGGAAAGTCCAAAGAGGACAATATCTGCTAGCGGTGGGCTTGGGCTGTTACACCATCAAAAGTTCATATCCACCTTTCGAGAAGTAAAGGAAATTGGATTTCAAATGTTGACGTTATCTAATTCCGCAGCCACGTAATATCGAATACAGACTTTTATCAATGTTGTTGATCCAACCATGATATGTTGAGGCTTGCATCATTCATAATAGTCCAGTTCACAACAAAATAGATATCAATATAAAACATTATATTACCTCATCCAACATGTATAAAAGCTTTGTCAACTTGTTCTGCAAATCTTGCTTTTCAGTATGTGAGAGCTCACATGTTGAATTGCTCCCAGTTTCTTGAGGTTTTGAAGACACTCCACTTGCAGTTTGCATCGACGTGTCGTTTTTAGTTCCTGCATCGCCATTCTCGGCAGTTCCAGTTTCATGCTCGTGAGAACTCGGGTCTCTCTCATTATTCGGTCGCTTCAAAGCTTTCCTGACATTAACAACTTCATCAAGCAGTTGCTGTGCTGCCTTAAGGTACTTTGAATTAGGCATAGTTCTTGCAATACTAGACATGCTGTAAGGAGCTAATTCACCCTTGGCCAAGTTTTCTCCATTTCTCAATTGTTCATCTCGAGAAGCGCCATTTCTGCAGCTATCCTCACCCGAGCTAGTCGGATTAGGCCTCAGGAATGAAGCTAAACCGACATCCGAGTCTCTGTAGGGGATTGAAGCCATTTGGATTCCAGATGGGATTTGTGTACTCAGAGTAAGGGACAACCCCTGACCCTGCAAATTCTGCCCACCACGAACAACATTGGTCGAAACACACATCGAATTCGTACCAAGCATTTCACTCCGATCCTCTCTCCATGTATTGAAATCATGGTCAGAAATTCGCGAACCACCAAGATTCGATAAGAACTCCTGCTGCTGTTGAGCAGCTCCAACCGCTCCAACGGGCGTTATTGAACTACAACCATTTTGCGCCTGTGAAGACAATGAATCCATGAACGTCCCAGAATTTGCATTCATCATCATATTCCGTGGAAGAACTGCTGTTTCTTCATACGAACCGAGCAAAGCTCCCCTTGAATAGAGGATTGGAGTAGTATCCCTTTCGTTATTCGAACTCGAGTAGTAAGTAGCCATAGATTTTTCCTCTCAATTCAGAATTCTTCTGCTTCTACGCTGTCACCTAACAAAACTTTCAGACCCCAATTAATCAAAGTTGAATTGAATGTCAACAAACAAACAAAAACTCAACCCAAGATGGCAAATCCACAGGGTTTTCAATGACTAATGAAGTGTTAAAACAAACACTAAGACCACAGATCCTCCAGTTACTTAATATGCAGCCAAATTCACAACAATATCAATCAAAAAAGCTCCAAACCCCACAAAAACAAGAAGAAATAGAACAAACAAACAACATAAAGCTACTCATAACCTGCATGCAGAGCTGATCAGCACAAGAAATCAACAAGAATTGAATATTTTAAGTTCATATTTGAATAAACAAACAAAAGTGATTAAGCAATAAGTATAGTTTAAGCTAAAATTACCCTGAAATCCGAGACGGCTGTGGGTGTCGGAGGGAACCAAAAAGGTGGAAAACAGCACCCGATCGGCGGAACCCAAGAATCCCAAATACCAACACAACACTAAATCTAAGTGTTCATGGGAATTTCTGCAAACCCCAGAAAGATAAACAGAACAAGAAGGAACTATACACAATAAAACACAAAGAAATCAAAGGATCTTAAAGAAATAATTTAAAACCATACGATTCTTATCTAAAATTTGCATCAAATTCCCACGTGAGAGTAAAACCCAATTTCTATTTCCTTTGGTTTCTTTCGGTCTCTCTAAACGATGCCTTTAATTTCCTCTTTATTTCTCCTTCTCTTCTTTTTCTTGCACTCCCAAAAAGAAAAGAGCCCTCCCCTTTTGTGGCTACGGCTGCTTTTCTAGAAACCCACCTGAAAGAAATCAAATGCCTAGCTGTTCTTGTTCTTGTTCTTGGTGTTCTTGTTCTTGTTCTTGATCTTGTTCTTGATATTGTTCTTGATCGGTAAGGGCGTGTTTGGTTAAGAGGCTCAATCCCAAACTACCAGTTGGTAGACCTATTGCTGCTGCTGCTGCTTCTTCTTCTTCTTAAACCCCAAAAAAACCCTTTCTCTCTCTAACCCTGCCCCTCCTTCTCTCTCATCCCATGAGCATGGAAGGTCTGGTTTGTGCTGCAACGTGTCACGGTCATGCTTGTCCAGGGCTTGTCGCCCATGGCCGCATGCCCATGACAAGCCAAACCCTTGTCATGTCTTTTCATTCTAGTGTTTTTCTTTTGTAATTCTAAAAGCGTATGACACCTCAAAAATATCATGTCTACGCCTGCCAGAACTAAAATGGCCCAGAATGTACTATAGGGGGATATGACTAGTCGTCAACTTCTCCCTACCCAAGGTTATATATGCTAAGCCGTTGTTATCTTTCTCTTGCTTGCTATATAACGTCTCTTTCTAAAATCTCTCTTTCAAAAATCTCTCTCTCCTCGTTTTCTAAAACCTTCTTTTAAAAACCGAGGCTAGAGGCTTGACCGTACGTCGCTTGGCCATAGGCGACGCAAGAACAAATAGGCTCAACTCACTCGTTGCTGGAAAGTGAGTGCCGCACAATCGCTAGTCCGCTGCCTTCGAAAGCGCGATTGTGTCAAGTGGTATCAGAGCTTTGTTAGCTCCGTAACGTCATACAGACCGAGATCATGTCGACAACAAAGTCGACACCCAAAGCACAAGCCGACCGGCTTACGCTAATAGAGGAGGAAATGCTGTTCCTCAAAGAAGTCCCTGACACCCTCCGTTTCCTGGAAACACGGGTGACCGAACTGAGCGAGAAAGTCGTCCAAGTCGACGCAATGGGCAACCGCCTGGATGGGTTGCCAATCGCAGAACTATTGTTTCGAGTGACCTCGCTCGAGGAAAGAGTTGCTCCTACGAGCAGCCCAAAACCGTCTGATAGTCCGGATAGCTCTGTCGCACACAAAGAGGGACGTGGCGAAGAGTTCGACGTACTACAAACCACAATGATGAGTTTGTTCAATGGATTGGCTGATGAATTCAGATCAACAGTCGACGACCTCCAAGAAAGGATGGCCGCCATGAGCACTCGAATCGAAATTACCATGAAAGCCGTGGAAGGTGTCGCGGCTGGACAAACTAATACAGGATCCAATAAACTAAGGTTCCCAGACCCTAGATCCTTCAAAGGGAATCGGGACGCCAAGGAGTTGGAGAACTTCATCTTTGACGTCGAACAGTACTTCAAAGCCACAACGGCTTGTACCGACGACAAGAAGGTGACTGTAGCCGCGATGTATCTCATAGACGACGCCAAACTGTGGTGGCGTACGAAGGTGCAAGACATCGAGGATGGATTGTGCACCATCGACTCATGGGAGGACCTCAAGAGAGAGTTGAGGGAACAATTCCTCCCCGAAAACGCAGGGCATGTAGCAATGGAGAAAATAGTAGCCCTGAAACACACTGGAAACATACGGGACTACGTCAGACAGTTCTCAACCCTGATGCTGGATATCAGGGGCACGGCAGAGAAGGACAAGGTGTTCTTCTTTATAAATGGTCTACAGCCGTGGGCCAAAACAAAGATACATGAGAACAGGGTCCAAACCCTAGCTGCCGCAATGGCCTGTGCCGAGAGACTCGTAGACTGTGGGAACGAAGCAGGATCCCAAAGAAGAGCGACACCAGCCCCAAACAATGGGGGCAAACCATACAGACCACCAGGCCAGCGAAATGGAAGTCCCAACAGACCGAATGGATGGACGGATAGACCTCCTCAGAACAATCAAGCGGGGACTTCTCGAGGGCATTACCATCAAAAGAACCACCCGACGACACCTTTGCAATGCATGCTGTGTAAAGGCCCCCACAAAGTATCATACTGTCCTCATCGGGCCTCTCTCACGGCACTTCAAGTGTCCATTCAAGAGAGCAATGAAGCAAGGGTCGAGACTTTGCTAGACAAGAAGGAAGATCACGACAACCCCCGAATGGGCGCACTCAAATTCTTGTCAGCCCTCCAACGGAAAGTCGAACCGAAGGAGGTACTAGAGAAAGGGCTCATGTTCGTAGATGCCACAATAAACTCTCAACCGAGCAAGAGCACTCTGATAGACTCTGGAGCAACCCACAACTTCATTGCCGATCAAGAAGCCAGAAGATTGGGACTCACCATAGGAAAAGACCCGGGGAAAATGAAAGCTGTCAATTCCGAGGCCTTGCCTATTGTGGGAGTTTCCAAGAGAGTCCCCTTCAAAATAGGGGATTGGACTGGAGAGCTAGACCTTGTCGTGGTTCGCATGGATGACTTCGACGTGGTACTTGGGATGGAGTTCCTCCTAGAACACAAGGTCATCCCAATGCCATTAGCAAAATGCTTGGTGATCACCGACCGTAATCCCACAGTAATACCTGCAAGCATCAAGCAACCAGGTAATCTTCGAATGATCTCGGCCATACAACTGAAAAGGGGACTCGCACGAGAGGAACCTACATTTATGGCCATACCACTGATAGAAGAAGCAACCACCGAAGAGACTGTCCCAGAGGAAATCAAGGAAGTACTATACAGCTACACCGACATCATGCCAGAGAGTCTACCACAAACACTACCACCTCGTCGAGGCATTGACCACGAAATCGAACTCCTTCCCGGAGTTAAGCCGCCAGCAAAGAACGCATACCGGATGGCTCCGCCCGAGCTAGCCGAATTGAGGAAACAACTAGATGAGTTGTTGAAGGCGGGATTCATTCGCCCGGCAAAGGCCCCTTATGGAGCCCCCGTACTATTCCAGAAGAAGAAAGATGGGACGTTGCGTCTATGCATAGACTATAGAGCCTTAAACAAGGTGACAGTACGCAACAAATATCCTCTGCCGATAATATCCGACTTGTTCGACCAACTTCACGGGGCCAAGTACTTCACGAAGTTGGACTTACGATCAGGATATTATCAAGTACGGATTGCCGAAGGGGACGAACCCAAGACGACGTGCGTAACAAGATATGGGGCCTTTGAATTCCTAGTAATGCCCTTTGGCTTGACAAACGCCCCAGCTACGTTCTGCACGTTGATGAACCAGGTCTTCTACGAATACCTGGATCAGTTCGTCATAGTATACCTCGACGACATTGTTGTTTACAGCACAACCCTCGAGGAACACAAAGTGCATTTGAAGTTAGTGTTTGACAAGCTCCGGCAGAACCAGCTGTATGTGAAGAAGGAGAAATGTGCATTCGCACAAACATGCATCAACTTCCTTGGACACGTCGTCAGATGTGGACAAATCAGTATGGATAGCGACAAGATAAAAGCTATCCAAGAATGGAAGGTTCCTACTTCCGTATCTGAATTGCGGTCCTTCTTAGGACTAGCCAACTATTATAGGCGGTTCGTCGAAGGGTTTTCACGACGAGCCGCCCCATTGACAGAGCTGTTGAAGAAAGACCACCCGTGGTTGTGGTCGAATGATTGTCAAATGGCCTTTGAAAATCTGAAAACAACCATGACGAGGGGTCCTGTCCTCGGGTTGGTAGATGTCACAAAGCCATTTGAAGTAGAAACCGATGCTTCCGACTTTGCTCTCGGTGGAGTCCTCATTCAAGAAGGCCACCCCATCGCTTACGAAAGTCGAAAGCTCAACGATGCTGAACGAAGATACACTGTCTCCGAGAAAGAAATGCTGGCTGTAGTCCATTGCCTTCGAGTCTGGAGACAGTATCTCTTAGGATCACAGTTCGTAGTGAAGACGGATAACAGCGCCACTTGCCACTTCTTTGATCAACCAAAATTAACAGCAAAACAAGCCCGGTGGCAGGAGTCGTTGGCCGAATTCGACTTCAAGTTCGAACACAAAGCAGGGAAGAGTAATCAAGCAGCCGACGCGTTGAGTCGGAAGGGCGAACATGCGGCCCTGTGCATGTTAGCCCACATTCACTCAAGTAAGATCGATGGATCGATGCGCGACATCATCAAAGAACATTTACACAAAGACCCATCGGCCAAAGCTGTTGTCGAACTAGCTAAGGCTGGAAAGACACGGCAGTTTTGGGTTGAGGGGGACCTCCTGATAACCAAAGGAAACAGGTTGTACGTCCCAAGAACGGGGGAACTGCGGAAGAAACTCATTCAGGAATGTCACGATACCTTGTGGGCCGGACATCCTGGGTGGCAAAGAACATACGCCCTAATAAAGAAGGGGTACTTCTGGCCAAACATGCGAGACGACATCATGCAATACACCAAGACGTGCCTCATCTGCCAACAGGATAAGGTCGAGAAAGCCAAAGTCTCTGGACTCTTGGAACCTCTACCTGTGCCAACAAGACCCTGGGAAAGTGTATCTCTGGACTTCATAACGCACCTCCCAAAGGTCGGGGAATATGACGCCATCTTGGTCATTGTAGACCGATTCTCCAAATATGCGACATTCATCCCCACTCCCAAATTATGCTCGGCGGAACTCACAGCCCAACTGTTTTTCAAACACGTTGTAAAGTTATGGGGCATTCCGTCGAGCATCATCAGTGATAGGGATGGCAGATTCATTGGGACGTTCTGGACTGAGTTATTCGCTTTCTTGGGAACAACCTTGAACATCTCCTCGAGTTATCACCCTCAAACCGATGGACAGACAGAACGGTTCAATTGCTTGCTCGAAGAATACTTACGTCACTTCGTCGACGCTCGCCAAAAGAACTGGATACAATTGCTAGATGTCGCCCAATTTTGCTTCAATTGCCAAACCAGCTCATCTACAGGGAAGAGTCCCTTCGAAATTGTAAGTGGACGACAACCGGCCTTACCCCATATTATTGATCATCCTTATGCAGGAAAAAACCCTCAAGCTCACAACTTTACAAGGGAATGGAAGCAGACAACAGATATAGCCCGGGCATATTTAGAGAAGGCTTCCAAGCATATGAAGAAATGGGCGGACAAGAAGCGTCGCCCCCTTCATTTTCGTGCAGGAGATCAAGTCCTTATCAAGCTGAGACCAGAACAGATCAGATTTCGTAGCCGAAAGGACCAGAGACTAGTTCGTAAATATGAAGGCCCGGTTGAAGTCCTTAAAAAGATCGGGGCTACCTCCTACCGAGTGGCACTACCCGCATGGATGAAAATCCACCCCGTCATTCATGTGAGCAACTTGAAGCCCTATCACC